AATGGAGTGAGGGTGGAAAAAGGGTTTCTTACTCTTTTTCACCACGTGAGGAAGAACCTAAACAAACAGCGGAACAGACTGAGACCTCTCAATGTTTTAGAAGAGAAAAGGTTTCATTTCCCGTTACAGACTAGGAGAAAAACATAAATCTGTCTTTGGTGATGTAGAGACTATGGTAAATTAGTAGGTGTAAAAGAAAGTGCTTCAGAAGCTGAGGACCAGAGAAAAGCTTTTGCAGGCAATTGAGAGGAAAAGGCTGAGGAGACAGAGAAGACAGGAAGAAAATACATTTAGCAAACAAATGTTGCAATGAAGATGAAATTGGGTGATAAAGAAATAGATTGAACATTACAAGGACATGGCAAGACCAATTTTAAAGAAGAGATGTTTCTGATATTTGTTACGTTCATTACGATGGATATCATCACTGTTTGTCACACTATAGCATCTGGCCACAGTTTTAAAATGTTGCAGTAACCTAAGAAGGCATGTTGATTGCACTCACAACTATATTCCGTTGTACCTGTGCAAGTGTTTAGATATTGCTGATTCTTCTTAATCTACTGTTGATATATTGAAGTTTATCATCACAGGACTATTGCTTACCTCTATGACAATTCTTTAGCTAAAATAACACTGTGAGATTAACTACAAAAGAGACTAGATTTTGGAGCTACAGAAATTTCAAAGAACATTGTAATGGATGCAACAAAGGGAGTATTTAAGAAGATGTAGTTGTACTTCAGGCATGGTGTGAAGTCTTTGAATTATTGGCATGAGGAATTTTGTTCATCCGGAATCAGAAAAACTTTTTCATCTGTTTTTAGGGGGATTGTGCACCCTGGTTGAGTCTGTTTTATAAATGACTAAGTAACACAAAGGCAAACTGATTTTGAAAGATCCAACATTGTCTAGGATCAGGAAGAGACATAATTTGCCCCTCCATTCAGCCCTGGCAAGGGTACATCTTGATTACTGTGTCCATTTCTGGACTCCTCAGTGCAAGAGAGATGTGGAGCTCCTGGAGGGAGTCCAGCAGAGGGCAACAAAAATGGTTAAGGGACTGGAGCATCTTTCTTCTGAGGGCAGGCTGAGAGAGGTGGGCCTGTTCAGCCTCAAGAAGAGATGACTAAGAGGGACCTTACCAATGTATGAAGAAGGACTTCTTTACTGTGTGGAACAGCTTGCCCAGAGAGGTTGTGGAATCTCCCCCACTGGAGATATTCAAGATCTGTCTGGATTCAGTCCCATGCAATGTGCTCTGGGAAAACCCTGCTTGAGCAGGGATTTTGGACCAGATGACCTGACCCACTGTAGTCCCTTCCAACCTTACCAGTCTGTGATAATTTGCCATTCACAACAAATCAAAAACATATTTGCCATTTGCCTATTATAGTACTACATCCCTAAAGGTACACTGTAGTAAACTATGAAGTAACACTTACTGATGTATCAGGTGGTTCCTTCTATAAACTTTGTTTTTAAAATGTGCAGCACAGTGCCTGCCTAACTATAGCTCCTTCTGGAGTTCAGCCCTTTATCTGTCTGACAGCAGGATCATACTCTGTGACTTGTATGAGTGTGAAGTAATACTTTGGTTCTCTGTGACACAGCAGCCAGAAGGGACAGAAGGGGTTAGAGCTTCCCAAGGGATGGATCCTCTACCTTTCCTCCCATGGTGGGCGTTCGTTAGACTGTGGAAAGATACAGGCCTTTGGGCTCACATAATCTCTTGTATTTCTCGTTCTTTCTTTTTCTGTTCCTTTCCTTACCTTCTAAATAAATAGCCTCTTACTGAGCTTTAATTTTATTTTTTTTTATTGTTTTAAAGCAAAAGCTTTTCAGGAATTCTGATTAAGAGAATAGAGAGTGAAAAATGTTGCTCTAGAATACTACTTTTAAGTACTAAAATATCACCTTTTGTGTTATTTAGTAGTTTTAATTTATGTTGAATTTATTGTGAATTCACTGTTCTTTTGACCACTTCTTTGTGATGCTAAAAATATTCACAGTCTGAACTATGTTAAATTAGTTTCCATGGAAGTCAATTAAATACTCTGAATTCCTTCTAAATTAGCAAATAATGGAAAGAACTAAGCCCTAATCCCGATTTGGGCTTATTCTCTAGAAACTTTCATGAGAACTTACACTGTTTATCTATGCATGTGTTTAGTCACACAAAAGGCCCAGTTGCCACGCCAGTGTAACTAGAATTGATGAACTGAAAACAGCTGGCTCGCTTTAACAGGCTTTGTGTTACTCGCAGAATTTATGCGGAACCCATGTGTGGATGCTGGCTTGATCCCTCCTTTGGTGCAGCTGTTAAACTGCAAAGACCAGGAAGTATTGCTTCAAACAGGACGTGCCCTGGGCAATATATGCTACGATAGCCGTGAGTGTTGAAATATGCCCTATTTTGTAGATGCTCTTGTAGAAGGGAGGGGAGTGTTTTGGTGTTCTGTACTTTGTGTACTGGGGGGTTATTTCCTTGATTTTTTTTGTTTACCACATGGCTCTTCTGATTGTATGGGAAAATTGAATGTCACACTTGGATTATGCTTTTGCGACAGAAAGATTAAAAAACCTGTTTCAATATTGTGATACAACTGGATATAAGAATAGAAAAGATTCGTGATTCTGGGTTTGGGATTTTTTAAACACAATGAACTAGGTTTTCAGGGAGCAGGTGCTACATATGCAGAGGCCTGAACAGTTAATTTTTCCTCAAACAGAATGTCTTGGAAGGGACCAGAGTCAGAAGGGAATATTTGTATTCTGCCAGTCACAAAGCTATGAAGAGCTGCATATGTGGCTGAAATGATGTTTGAGCTATGTTGCTAATTCTCAACGTTTTTGCATGGCCAGTCAATCACCCTAAGATTAGATATTGGTATTTTTGGTAGTCATAGGTGATGGAGGGGGGAGGTTGGTGAGGTTTTTTAGCTTTGTATGGGCACAATAAATTTTTACGCTGAGAAGCAATTGAGTTTTGAAATGCAGTTGTAACTCCGTGTGCTGATTACGTGCGTAGATATGTCATCTGCAAAACCAAGTCAGTGGCTGCAGTGTTTTGAAAATGTGCCCTCATTATCCCTTACTTTAAATATTTTGATAAAAGCCTCTGCAGAAGCAGAGACAACAGGAACATTTTTTCAAGCACATGAAGGATTTAGAAAGCTATGGATGTCTGCAGATGGGAAGTGAGATGAAATTGTAAAAGCATTTTGTTATCTTGAGATTTAGTGCCTTATTTCATATGACAAGAAATTTTCTGTGTACTGTGTTGTAGTTACTAAAAAATTTGCTGTTCTGAATACCACCTGTTAAACAAAAAATGAATTATTTGTAGCCTTTCTCCTTGCTCCTTTTTTTCATCCAAGTTTGAAAATTTACATTTTATATTGTTTTAAATTACCTTGCCTTTGACCTCAGGAAAGTTAATCATATTTTCCATGCTGGCATTTCCATTTACAGATAACTACTCTTAAGGATGTTAATGTATAATTCTTTCATTTAGGATTTTCTTTAAGGTGACCAGTCACTGAACAACTGCTTCCCCGTGGAAAATTCCAAGTAGAAGCTGTTGAGCTTTTCTATAACGTAATTACTATATTTTATTTCAGGATCATGTGTGACAGAAAGGTCACTTTCAAGTGCACTGGTTTATTTCATATAAGTAAAATCTATGTAATTATTCATGTCATTGTTGTCCACCTCACATCTCTTCATGAAATACAATAAGGGCACACATAAACGGTTTTGCAGTATTAGGTGTTGTGGACTACTGCTGACTTCTACAGTGCAGGATTTATCCTCTGCAGAAAAGCTGTGTTATTCACCTTCTGTGCAGCAAAGCTGGCACTGATAAAATCTACAGTAGGGCAGTGATGTGTTCTGTGTGCCATGTGTTACTGTGCTCCTGTGGGAGGACAGTCACTACCTTCCCTGTGTATTTGAATAAGATTAATGACTAAAATGTCACAAAAATTAAGATTAGCATATTGGATTTGAGTGGAAGAGGCTATTTACAGTGCCTAGTTATCACAGCCACGCTATCTGGCATTATTTTATATGTTAGCTTAATGTTTATATTAAGCTTAATTGTTATGTACCCTATCCAGAATTCTTATTTAGGACAAATACTTTCACTATGCTTATTACTAGAAAATTTAATATATTTCAATTTATTCCTATTGTTTTTTCTAACAAGGAACCATAAAGTATAACAAAGACAACATGTGGAGGCCAGTAGTTTTAATTAAAATGCTGCCTATTGATAGTATTTTTCTTTTCAGTTGAGACAAATGCAGCTGTTACCCTTCTGAAAACTGGGACTTGTATAAGAACCTGAAATACATCAGCGACTATTTTAGCATATACATGAGCATTTCTTCACTTACACTGTTCATGTAATTATACTGTGCAATAACGAGGAATGTTTTTAAGTCCTAAATCAATGTTAGAATGAAACTGTGAAATTAAGCCCATACTGGATGGCTCATAGCAACTTTTCTATTTACTGAAAGCCCCAGTTGTCCTGTATTTCATCCCAACAAGTATGCATCACTTGGTTTAGTGACAGTTTGTATAAAAATGAGTTAATAGGGTCTCTATTTTTGAGAGAAGTTTGCGTGGTGCAGAAGGAAAGTTGTGGGACAAATGGCTTTTTCTGCAGGGAAGGCCTCTTAAAAATGACATTGAAGAAGAGAATTGCCTGAAATTTTTTTCTTGATTAAAGGAAAAGGGCAGTAGTTTTTTCGTGTTGACAGATCCCAGAGTTGCTGACATGAAGGCAAGGCCATTTCCACATAAGTTCAAGAGAGACTACTCCTGGAACACAGCTGCTGTGGAACGGTAATTCATAGCTCAGTCCCAATGCTGAAAGAAGTTTAGTACCTTCCACAAGGTAAAAGGGGAATTACACACTTGCTGGCCAAGGACCTCACTGAACAGATTCATCTCCTCACAAAAAAACATGAAATGAAAACCTGTTGACTTACTGACAGATTTTCTTCTTTATTAAGTTTGAGGTACACATGGCAGAGTGTTGTCGTCTGGGTGCTCATCAGTGTTGGCCCTCTAAAATAACACTGCATCACCTATTTGAGCATGGAAGAAAATACAGAGAATTAAATGCATTTCATAAACAGTTAAAGAGGAAAAAATAGGTCAAATTTATACCAAGCAGCCTTGAGAACATCCTTTTTAGAGTATTTGTATTGTGAAGAAATGTGCATTATGTGAATCTCTGAACATCAAGAATACAGGCAAATACAATTGCAAAGCAGAGTAGAAGGCAGATTTTTAGTAGTGATGAGTCTTCTAGTCACCCAGCCTTACTTTTGTATGCAGAAATGAAAGAAACAATTGAGGCAGACTAAAAGATCTTAAGTCAGAAGTAATGAATTGCAGACTGTCAGAAGCAACAGCATGCAGACTGTTCAGTGCAGTCGTACAATTTAAGAAGGTACATTACTGCATGTTCTTGTACAGCCTGTAATTGTTCTACCTGCTTTATCTAGTAAATGGCACATACACCTCAGCCCTCAAATTTTTGTCAAAGCAGAAAGTGCAAAGTAAAGAAATGGAGACATGATCTCTCCTCCTCTCTCCTGCTTTCTCCCCCACTGTCTCTACAGCCTGTACCAAGTACAGCTGCTTGTACTTCCGTATCCCCAGACAACGGGTTCCACAACCTTACTGGGGGACAGAATTGTATCTGAACTATAGTACTAGATGCAAAGCTTCTAGCCTACTCTTTCCTTTTAGCCACCAGTTATGGTTTTTTGCTTATAGTCCAAGCTAAATTCTTAGGTGTTGTCCAGTCAGAGCACAAGAGTTGTCCTTCTACCTGCTTCATCACTCTTTATGCATGAGTCAAACTATAGCTGCCTTCCTACTGTATGTCTTTCCAACCCCTCCTGTCATTCTCCCCAGTGCTATTTCTTCAGTAAGTTTGTTAGTACACACCTCTGCTCTCTCTGTTGGCTTCTGTCCCAGTAGACTGGGCAGACTCTGGTGACTTGGCTCGTGTGGCTGATTGAATGCTTGGGGGACGGGGAGACTGAGACACAGTTTTCAAGTTAGGCCTACCTTCTTGCAAGACCTACGTGACAATGTGGGAGAAAGACAAAACCTGTCTGTAGCCAGATCTCTGTCCTACTCTGACACCCCCCCCAGCAGTGCAGTTTGTATAGATGAAAGATCAGGCCAACCAAATAAATTTTATCAAGAATTTTAATGGAAAATGATGCTATATTAAATTAGTATTATTTTCTTAGCTGATAATAGCCTCACAATATTTTTTTATCATTAAGTTTGTGATGCACATGCTATCTTAATCTCTCATCTTTCCACAGGTAATTTGTTACACACGTCAGTTCTGAACTGATTGACAAACTACTTTCCTGTGTTTTTATATAGCATTGTGCATATGATAGAGGCTACCATAATTATACTACAAAAGTGATAATTCTAAGAGGAATTGAAAGGCTGGGATATTTAGAGCCTGGTTCAGGAGCCATACAGACTAGAGAGAGTGGTTCTGATTGACTCGGCTGAGAATAGATTAGACTCTTACCCAGTAGAAAGTAAGTCCTTCTTGCTGTTTAGAGCATACACATATTCTGAAAGCTGGCAAAGGGAAGTAAGCTCTCCATGTATCTTGTAACAGAAGTGAAAAATTTCCCATTCTGCCCTTCCACAATATTCATATTAATAGTAGTGCATAAAGACCTCGTTGGGGAATCTCAAAGCTATTTCTTTTTGCTCCACAACCTTGTTTCTTCATGAAACCACCAGCCTGGGTACATGTTCTCAGCAACCATACATCATGATATAAACAGCTACAGAGTTAGGAAGAGGCTAGAAATGCCAACTCATTCTATAAAGGCTCTCCTCTGACAGCTGCTTATCTACCTTTCTCAGCAGGAAATTTATTGGATCATTTTCTCATTTCCCAAGCTGTATATTTTTCAGTTATCTATGCAGTCTTACTTGTATTGATGGAAGACTTCTAGCTGAATGTTGACCATGTGGCCTTTCTCACCCTCAACACTGGAACATGAACGTTATACCACTTCTTGTTAAAAAGATCTTACACATGCTATAAATTCTCAGCTGCCGATCCTATAAGGATATACAGACCTCTTGCAGAGATCTGCTAAGGAAGGCTAAGCACAAAAATAAGAAACTACTCAATTGCAGTTATGCCCATCTCAGGAGATAAGATTAATTTCAGGATCTAAAGCAGAAAGCCAGTCACCTTAAGAAATTAAGCATACTGGAAAGCAGTCAAATTCAGTTTTCTTTAGAAAATGACATAACTTTTTTCATTACCATATGGAAAACCAGCAGAGTCCTAGAACACAACTGGTGTTGATAAAGCACACTACTGGCTGATCATTTTTATGAAGGTCACCTGATTCATGCAGCTAGGCAGCATCTTACCATGATTTTTCACTTATCATTGTACTAGATCCTACCAAATGCAAATGCCACCTACTAAGCTGTTTCCCAAGAAATACCATGAAATCAAGACCAGAGTCCTTAAATTGTTGCTTGAAAATTGTTTTGCTTGCAGAGAATTAAAATTCTAGGGATGCAATCCTTGTGTGCATCAGCTAGAAACTAAGCATACCATATGTATGCCAACACATACTTTCTCAGTAATATTTAGTACTTAACAGCAATTAATCATGAATGTTCTTAAGAAGCTATTAAACAATATTATTCTCATTTATTTATGTTATAGCTGGCCTAAATGGAATCAGAATGATGATGAAGTCTTCCTAGAACATCACAAAAAACCCATTTGAGAGGTGATACAAAACCCATGAATTCTCATTCTCAGGCTAATACTCTTTTTAAAATTTACACTGAATATTAACTCTACTGAAACAAATGGCAAAATTCTCATTACTTAAGCCAAAACTTCACAGAAGCCCACATTGGACAGTTTGTTTGCTTGTGTGTGTGTGAAAACCCAAACCAAATTGCCATAGATTTGGAACTTTTCCTTCCTTTAAGGTGAAGCTATGAGGCCTAATTTTCTGTTTGTTTTAAAGTCCGTAGGTATTACAGGTCCTGTTTATTTTCTGCAGGGCAAATACTTTTCCTCTTCCTGTTTTTTTCCAGGAAGATTATTTGAATAAGCAGAATAAGTCGATAGCTGTTCTGTCAGCACAGGTACAAAGAAAATAATATCTAGGAAACCAAGCAGATTTTTTCTGATTCCTTCCTTTCTTCCTCTCCAGCATTTAATCCATAGTCTGTAAAGTCTGTGTATTGCTCGTATTACAACAAGCTCAGAGACATCTGCTTAATTAACAGTCAAAATAGAAGCCACAGGCAACAAGAAAAAAAGGAAAAAAAATATATGGAAGATGTTTCCAGGGTCATGAGCAGACTTAGAAAGAAACCCTTATTCGCTAGATCTTGTTGCCACCTTAAAAGGAAATCTAAGATTCAAATTTCAGTTAAAAACTGACCTATTTCTTCATGCTTCAAAGTTAAACACAATAGGAAAGCAAAAACTTGGAATTCCCCTAATATTTATGATGACAGAAAAAATTCTCATCGGGAGGAAAAGCATTTAGAATTTCAGTATCTCTAAGTGAACAACCCAAAATGGGTAGCTCCCTCTTCTCTTTTCAATTCAACCTCCCTTTTCATGTCGTTTTTCACTTTGCTGTTAAGGATATGTGAAATTTTTCATATTTAGAGATAACTGCACAGTCAGCTTGTTGATTTCTCGCCCCTCAGAAAACAAAGCTTGTTAGTTGAGTGTCTCAACATGGGCAAAGTGTCTAGCTTACTCTATTTAGAAAAGTAGGCATTATGTGACTAGAAATATCAACTGTCACTAAGTCAGCAATGGTGGAAAGCGCCAACTGATTACTATGGAAGACAGAAGAAAGAATCTGTTAGTATCTTGCTAAGCATTGCTTATATAAAATTGGGATGTGTTTATTAATTTATTGTCTTTTTTAAAGTTTTCAGCCATTGTTTTTCTCCTTTTAACTTGGTGTTTTAATACAGTCTAATTATGTAATGATAGCTTCGTAAATAATACCGAAGAATATAATTTTGTTGTACTCTCAGATCCACTTCTGCAGATCTTTGCAACACTGTGCACCATGCATGTATTGCATTGACCAAACCTTTTAGTTGTTCATATGATAGCTGCACAGGCATCTGGTTTTATACAGCATTTCCTACAGTGTAATAACAGCATAGAGATAACATACTACATGCAAACCACTTAAATTGCATCACATTTGCTGTGTTCCTATCTAAGGAATACTATGTAACTCTCAGAAACAGAAACTGGACATAATTGTGGAGGAACTGTGTTAGTAAAATCTGTCCTTTAATGCAGTGGAGCCCTTAAATGCCTCAGCCAGGGGACCAGACTCTGTTTAGTTAGAGAGTTCTAATAATGCTGTTTGTACAGTAGTACAGTCAGGAGGCAGTGCCCACCAGAGGAAGTTGCAGCTTAAGTATTTGGCAAAAAATGGTGAGGAAAGAGTTAGTTCACACTACACATACTAGCAAAGTGGTTTGTGTTAGGAATACAGTGCCTATGAGCAAAGTTGGTCTTTAAGCCTCCTTGATCCTGAGACTGCTGTATGTCTGGCTAGTTGTCCAGCCAGCAGGATGGCCTGAGGAATCACGGTAGATGCCTTGAATACCCTGTCTACAACAGCATTCAGATTCCCCTTAGAAAAGTGTCACTTACCTAAGACAGTGTCCAGTTTACCAATCCTATCTTGGTATCGCTTGGCCTCTTGAGCTCAGGCTGTTCTGCAGTTGTATTGCATGGCCAGTTGCCCTCCGGTCAAATCAGTGGGTTACCTTCTGCTAAGGAAGTAAAAGGCTTCCTAAAACAAGATGTTTGCTGGTCTTTCTCAGGCTGTATCCTCCAGCCTTTCAGATACAAGAATCTTCTACAAGTCAGCTCCTCTGTGCAGGCTGCACAAGGAGAGTACAACAAGCATCAGTTCACATGCTGCTGCTTGGATTTACTTTGTAGGGCCAGGTCCTCTCAGTTGCCTCTAGGCTTCATGATTTGGGGCAAGTAGCACTGACCCTAAATGCAAGACTTGCCCCAGCTTTTCCTAGATTCCAGGTCCGTTTATTAATTTTCAGTTCTTTAAATAATTTTCTTTCTTCCCAGGGCCTAGTAGGATCCACAGATGTGCTTGACGGTGGATTCTTTTGGCTTTGTTTTGCTTTTTCCTTCTTGGGCTTTTCCTAATCTACTCCAAATCCCCATGGGTCACACACTTTCTGTGACTGCTCCTTTGGCTGCCTTGGTGGAGACCCAGCTCCTTTTAGCTCCTTCAGAGGGTGGAACCACTGTCACACAACACCAGTCTAAGCCTCTTGCCAAGCTCCTTTCAGCAGCGTGACCCTATTCTGCACCAGACTGTGACCATGGCACGCTCACTTCTCACCCTTGTTCTTGGATAGTTTGAAACTAGAAGACAACATTTCACTGCAGGCCTGGGAGTAAGAATTCTAAATTAACTGTGCTGTGCAGGTTTATTCTGTTAATAGCATGAGATGCTATAAATGCCTATTTACCAGTATAGAAAAACTGCCTGCTGTTTTAGTGTATAATTGGATTCCATGATTTATTTCATGCTGTATGAAATAATAAGCATAGGCTGGCTCTGACTTAGGCAGGCTTCAGCTCTGACTTATGCTCTCATAAACCTAGAGTAATTTGTTTGACTGCAATGGAATTACTGTGGAGTTTCATAGAGTTATAAAATCACCTGAAGAGTCTGCTGTAAGTATATTGCACATGAAAAGGAAGGCAAGGGGAACTGCTAAATTCGGTTCTGTGGGCCTTTACCTGAGTTTTGTATATCTAAATAGAACATTCTCATACTAGTTGGCTTCTTTAATTTCAAATAAATTCAGTAGGGGTAATTACCACATTTTAATTACATTCTGAAGTATCCTTGGAATCCAGAACAAGTAATTTACCAATACTCAGACTAGTAGTATTGGATGCCTCATTGTCGATAAAAACATTTCTTCTGCTATATTGAAATCTCAGGTCCAGTAGTAGAATTTGACTGGAAATGAAGTATTGAAGTCTTAAACAGTAAACTCATCACTGTTCTTTTGTCTGAAATCAGAAACATATGATTTTTCTTGTATTTATCTGACATAAGAAGAATATGACAAATAAGCACATTTTACTGAAATTAAATTGTAGAGTAGAATCCGGCTTGCATTTGACTGCTGCCTCAGCATAACATTAGGGAGATTGTGGTCCTGGCACATTTACCTTTCCCTTCAAATGTTCTGCCAAACTCCTGACTCTGTAGACAGAAGAAATCATGAAAGAGGTTAGGGCTTGTTGGCATTGATATCCTGTGGTCCACACATTGAACATACTATGAGGAGTCAACCAAAAACACCCCTACATCTCTATTTGGATACAACATTTAAAATTTGTTTGTTAGAATGAACTAGTTGCATAAGAGGGACAATATGCTGCTGCATGAGCTGTCATTACCCAACAAAATTGCTGGCAACAGTTTTATCCAAAAAGATCAACACTACCTATTTCCAATCCTTGAAGAGACTGTATTAAGAGACAACATTCTACTATAGCATTTCTAGTTTACTGATTACATATTTATTATTTTAGGAATTATTCTAAAGGAATAGCTTATGAGACAGTACCCTCAGTGCTTACCCTTAGGGTTAAGGATAGCTGCCAGCATTTTAAGATAAACTTACTACAGGACTAAGCAATATTTTGGTCAAAAAAAAAATGCAGGATTGTAGCCAAATGCAATAAAGATGTAGTAATTAAAATAAAATGGCAGTATGTCACTTAAATGATGAGCCAATTGCAGAGTAAAAAGAATTTTAAAATAAATACTGTTTTTACCACGTCACCAAAAGTTGCTGTCTTAGCAGCTTGGAATATACAAATCAGGGACCTTGATCATACAAATGATCCTTTCCCTCTCTGAGATGCACCATTTATACTATGCAGCTGTTTACACCAATAAACTTTTGCAGAACATGAATTGGGGAAAGAAGAATTCAGGTTTCCAGTTGCAAGACAAAATCAGAACATTTCAAATTGTATACTTCAAGCCCAAAAGATCATTTTTAAGAAATGCTGTCAAATAGTTTTCTAGCTGATTATTTGAGAAATGGGTGGGGTTTTTTAAGCCTAAATATTTTCCAATATCTGCCTATACTGTGGCACAGCCCTTTTTCCTGATTTAGCTGTATGTCCAGAAATAATAAGCTTTTGGTGAGGACAAAAATCAAAGTATTGGTGCATGTGGTTTAGAAATAACTCACTGGCAGTATATAGCTTATGCTTTACATAATTTTCATTCTTTAAGCTGTCAGTTTAATTATTTTTTCTTGTTTACATTTTATGACTGATTTGTTTTAGGGCTTAGTGAACTACGGACAAAAACTCAAGCGAAAATCATGCAAATACATCTTGGGAAAAGCAAATTGAAATTACTTTTAGTGCTGCATTTTAAAGTTCTAGCAATCATACACAATAAAAAAAGTTTGGTTCTTGACTTGGGCATCCATTGGAGCAGGCATGGCTGAGCTATGGGAAAATTTGACAAGACTGTTCATAGAAGGAATGTGAGCAGTTGCAGTAATTTGATAATCCACATTAAAACCCCTTTTTGCATAAAACTCCTTCCAGCAACTCAGGATAGAGAAAAGAGACTGTACTAATTCTTAGAGACGATTGTATTGAATTGGGCTAAAGAATGTTGTGGAAGTAATAGCTCATTCTGTAATAAATCTTACTGTACATTTTACAGGGAAAAAAAAATCTGGTCTCTTGGGTTGTTGTCATTCTGGCATCTTTAGACAGTGTTACACGTACTTTAAAAAAAAAAGCTATACAACAGCATTGCCCTTTGTGGGCTGTAGTAAAGCATTTTTGAGCAGAAATGTGAATGCTCTCATTAAACTGTTCAATCAGTGTTCTCTTAGGATTAGCAAATGTTTATTTAAAAAGGTCACAGGAAAAAAATTCAACACAGCTTCTGGGAGGCTGGAAGCACGTTAAGTGTGGGAGTTCATAGAGCTGCTGAACTGCAAGGTAATAGTTGGATTGAGAACAAGACACGGCAACATGCTGTGGGCTTGTTTTGACTGTAAATGATTTAGACTTTGATGAGTATTCTTGTGTGCAAGATCTGTTTCTTAGCGACGGAGTAGTGAGAAGTAAGTTGGCAATACCTACACGAAGCATTCTGAGTCAGAAGTAGCTTTTTGCCTGTGGATGCAGCGGGGTGTCATAGCAGTGCTTGCAGTGGGTAGTCAGGACCTTCAGAATGTTCCTCCTACATATGGTACAGGATTCTTTGTGGCCCTGCACTAATGAGCTGAGTTAATCCTCTTGGGCAAAGAAGGCAGCACCAGGACATCCTAATTATAGCCCTAGTCCAGGTCTGTTCTTCACTCAGCTGCTTAGGGCAAAGAAGCAGCCATGCAAGGTGAGCTCTAGCATGGGAAAGAGATAGAGCAACAAACTCAGTTAAGGCATCTCTTTTACAAGTCTGCCAGCCTATGTAGTCCTGTCAAAGTCTGGCACTTACAGCCTGCCACCTTCTTGGGAGGGATCCTGAAGTTCATTTGTGCTTAACTTTTTGAGTATACCATAGAGACAGAGACATTTCTTGGAGTGAGATTTGTTTCTGTTTCTTTCTGCTTTATTTTTGCTGACTCTACAGTGGAAGCTGACTATCTATTTACCTAACAAAAATATTGTGTTGATACAAATTTTGTCATGTATTTGAATTGAGAGACTTAACACCAGTTTTTAATATATAACTTCTTTCACAAACCAGAGAAAATGGAAGTTAAAGGATATATGACTTAGATTTTAATTTGTTTTGAAGTATTGCCACACAATTATTTTCAGTGGAGTTCTGCCAAATTCCATCCAGGTAAGGAACTTGGCTTGTAACCTTTTTTTGTTTTTTTAACCCTTGCTTCCAAACCCTCACCTCACTCTACTTTTACATTATTCTTCACTTACACATTTTACATGTAGTTCTGTATCATGACACAGGAACAAGCTTGAGATATGATCCTTATCTGAAGTTAATCTTTATTATGGTTTTAGTTTGTTGATTTTAATTGCATTGTAGTAATTTGAGGACCACATTCAGCCTTTCTGATCCAGAATCAGTGATTCATTTTCATTTTGCTTACTTGTTTTGACTCACAAAACAGATGAGTCAAATACAAAATCATGTATTTGCATTACTTTTGTAAGAAAAAATACCAGAAGAGGTATACATAAAGCAGAATGCTGTAATATTCCAACCGAATTTGATTTTATTCTCTGCAGATTTGGTAAATGTAAACACCGAATCTGAACACCTAACTATATCATTCCACTATATTTTGATGTAGGGCTTCCTTTCATTTCAGCAGTATGGCTATGTTTGTTATAACATCAAATATGTGAGAGTTTTATTTTGTATTTATCCTTTTTTTTATAGTCTTTCCTTGACACAGAATCTTACATTGAATTTGTTTGAGTGTAAATAGATGACTATCTCCTTTTTCAATATGGAGTATTCACGCTTGCAGCAAAACACAGTCTTCTGATACCCTGATCCTGTCCAAGGTGGAAACAGTCGTGGCAGTGATGTTTTTCTCTGTTGCATGTATCTCAGTTATTCTGCAAAACACTTATCACTTTGGTAATAATCCTAATAGTTAAGATCCACCAAGAA